AGAGAATTATTTTGTAGAGATACTGCTTGCAAACCAATGATGTAAGATGATGTCATGGGGTAGGACTGGATAAGTCTGACTTCTTCCTACTCCATTCAAGCATGTACTAGGTATAAGCAAATTGATATTGGATTAGCATTTGTTGGATATGTGTAAAATTATGTGTGTTGACATATCAACTGTCTTTACATGCTTGAAAGAATAAATCAAATCAAATCAAATCAAATCAGAGAAAACAACTTCTTCATTTAAATAGCTGCAAGAAGTCAAGCCCAAGGTGAGTTCTCAGTTTGATACAGTCTGACTCTAATCAATGATTTGTGGATGGTATACAGGCCGCCAGTTTCCCTCCTCACCTTTTGCTTTCTTTAAAGGCCTCGGGGTGACGTTCGGTGGCTGAAGGATCCTACAAGCTGGTGACAGCAGGAGTGGCAGACCGCTCACCCATGACTGGAATTAATGAGACATGCATGGGTAATGAGATTACAAAGCTGTATCAGGGAAAACATAAAGGAGTATAACCAGAGACATGCTGTCACAACCTCACTTTCACAGAGCAAAGTGGGGACACACCTGTACGTGCAATCCGACATTCACCACATCGCAGGCACAGATGGAGACATGGCAGCTGCGCGATCTCATTTGCGGTGTCTGGGAATCCCACTGCTCCCAGTGGCATCAGGTTCATGGCAAGAAAAGACATCTGCCAAGCTGTCTCTTCATCTCCTGCAGGGTTTCACTGAAAAGACATGTACTGTCTGCAGGAAAAAATATAATATTGTTACAGAGTGTCCATTACAAATAGAGCTTGCGTAGAAATGAATTCATTAATCTTTACCAACGTGTATTTAAGCTTCCGTTCGGAATCAGCTAAATATCAAAATTGTAAATAGGATACAAATCTTATATACATGGAGACACATTGTGTGATGAATGGCTGTGTGCAGAGACAACGCTATGACCTTTACATATTGTATCATCAGTGCATTAATAATGCATTCTGAAGCACTTTGCTCAGCGCCATTACTATGTTTCATATTGTGAATTGAAACACAACAACAGTTCATTCTCCTGCTTTTGCTTACCAGCTTTGTCTGTCAACCAGACCTTAAGGGGCAGTTTAAAAATTAATGAGCTGTGCATACACTGTAAATAACTGCTGGTAATGCACCTTGGGTTATTTGAAATGTAAAACCTACTGTAATGCTTTGATTATCTATGTATCTGCTCTGAGCACAGATCCGAGCCCAGAAGCAGTGTTCTGTGCAGTCTGGGTGCTGGCTGACTCACTGTCACTCGTGAGCATGTTGAACGAGTTCCTTAGAGTTGAAAAACTTTGGGAATACAGCAACAGCCTTTTGACACCACTCCATGTATATAAATAACGTGATGTAATTTTGAAGTGGTAATTATTCTTTGGACCCCAAGGATTTGCTCAAGAATACACATGAAATATGAAAATACTGTTTCTAAGAAATATTAAATGTTCCAAATATTCATTCTTAAAATTTGAAATATGTTGACTCTAGATGTAGTTATTCATTCTTCTTGCATTGCCAAAACTGGAAAAGCTTTATCCTGACACATTTTCTTATTTTTTCATTAATACAGTGCCTTGCGAAAGTATTCGGCCCCCTTGAACTTTGCGACCTTTTGCCACATTTCAGGCTTCAAACATAAAGATATTAAACTGTAATTTTTTGTGAAGAATCAACAACAAGTGGGACACAATCATGAAGTGGAACGAAATTTATTGGATATTTCAAACTTTTTTAACAAATAAAAAACTGAAAAATTGGGCGTGCAAAATTATTCAGCCCCCTTAAGTTAATACTTTCTAGCGCCACCTTTTGCTGCGATTACAGCTGTAAGTCACTTGGGGTATGTCTCTATCAGTTTTGCACATCGAGAGACTGAAATTTTTGCCCATTCCGCCTTGCAAAACAGCTCGAGCTCAGTGAGGTTGGATGGAGAGCGTTTGTGAACAGCAGTTTTCAGCTCTTTCCACAGATTCTCGATTGGATTCAGGTCTGGACTTTGACTTGGCCATTCTAACACCTAGATATGTTTATTTGTGAACCATTCCATTGTAGATTTTGCTTTATGTTTTGGATCATTGCCTTGTTGGAAGACAAATCTCCGTCCCAGTCTCAGGTCTTTTGCAGACTCCATCAGGTTTCCTTCCAGAATGGTCCTGTATTTGGCTCCATCCATCTTCCCATCAATTTTAACCATCTTCCCTGTCCCTGCTGAAGAAAAGCAGGCCCAAACCATGATGCTGCCACCACCATGTTTGACAATGGGGATGGTGTGTTCAGGGTGATGAGCTGTGTTGCTTTTACGCCAAACATAACGTTTTGCAGTGTTGCCAAAAAGTTCGATTTTGGTTTCATCTGACCAGAGCACCTTCTTCCACATGTTTGGTGTGTCTCCCAGGTGGCTTGTGGCAAACTTTAAACGACACTTTTTATGGATATCTTTAAGAAATGGCTTTCTTCTTGCCACTCTTCCATAAAGGCCAGATTTGTGCAGTATACGACTGATTGTTGTCCTATGGACAGAGTCTCCCACCTCAGCTGTAGATCTCTGCAGTTCATCCAGAGTGATCATGGGCCTCTTGGCTGCATCTCTGATCAGTCTTCTCCTTGTATGAGCTGAAAGTTTAGAGGGACGGCCAGGTCTTGGTAGATTTGCAGTGGTCTGATACTCCTTCCATTTCAATATTATCGCTTGCACAGTGCTCCTTGGGATGTTTAAAGCTTGGGAAATCTTTTTGTATCCAAATCCGGCTTTAAACTTCTCCACAACAGTATCTCGGACCTGCCTGGTGTGTTCCTTGTTCTTCATGATGCTCTCTGCGCTTTAAACGGACCTCTGAGACTATCACAGTGCAGGTGCATTTATACGGAGACTTGATTCCACACAGGTGGATTCTATTTATCATCCTTTGTCATTTAGGTCAACATTGGATCATTCAGAGATCCTCACTGAACTTCTGGAGAGAGTTTGCTGCACTGAAAGTAAAGGGGCTGAATAATTTTGCACGCCCAATTTTTCAGTTTTTTATTTGTTAAAAAAGTTTGAAATATCCAATAAATTTCGTTCCACTTCATGATTGTGTCCCACTTGTTGTTGATTCTTCACAAAAAATTACAGTTTAATATCTTTATGTTTGAAGCCTGAAATGTGGCAAAAGGTCGCAAAGTTCAAGGGGGCCGAATACTTTCGCAAGGCACTGTATATGTACGGATTTTTATAAATGACAGGACATAGCCCAGTGTGCCCACTGGACAAAACTCTCCCCTCCCAGTAGTACTACAGTCTCAGGACTGTACAAATATTTAATAATCATTTAAAACATAGAGAATATGGAATGGATGGACATCTTAATAATATTAATGTGCCCTATCATGTGTCCCTCATAGACATTTTCCCCCAAACCTCTTAAAGGTTTTTTTAAGTACTTCCACCCTATTATGTCAGTTTCTTTTTTTTGGCTCTAATGTCCAATTCCATTTCTGAAGGAGATTTACCTGGTTTTAACATAAGGGAAACTACCACTGATCTCAAAGATGGTGTTAATATTCCATTTCTCACAGGATTCATTAAACATTTCAAGGAGGTGCAGCAACAATTTTGGTAAGAAAACTTGTAATTCTTTCTAAAGGGAGTTGTCAGGCCCATGCGCATTCGCACTTTTCATGGTCTAGTGCTTCTAACTCTTTGATATACAGTTTAATTAAGATTAATTTCAACCTCTCCAAATAATGGTGGTAATTCCAATTGGTTCAGAAACATATATCGGTTGCTGGAATTATACGAATCATCATAAAGTGTCAAAGCATTGTTTATTTCTACTCGGTCACCTCGGTTTTCCCCATCCTCCATTTTTATTGAGTTAATAATGTACAGGCAGCTCTATCTGTTTCTACCTTCATAATCCTCCATGCTAAAAGCATCACAGGCTTCTTTCTTTGGTCACATAAGTTGGAAGTTATTTTACTGGTCACTAATGGGGGTTATGCGCAACTTACTTCCATATACTGCAAAACAGAATCATCCGTTTCCGGTTTGCGACTAGTATGAAATATGGCACTGTTCTACTCAAGATGTCTCCAAGAACTACCAAAGATGAAGATCACGGATGTCCACCGAATATGCAGTTTGATGGTTAAAACACCGGGCAGCAAGCTGGATAAGGGGTTTAAGCTATATGCTTCTTCATACATCCACGACTACGAAGGTAGAGTTATGTATCGGTTATCTTACAAACGGAGATGTAGCTAAGCTAGTTCGTAAGCTAACTAGCTAATGTTATCGATATTTACACCGAGCATCTGTCTGGTACACCAAAATAATGTAATACACTACCGGAAAGCTAATAGTAATTAAGCTTGTGTGATGGAAATGCTAAATTTGTAAACTGCTGGGCTTTTAATTTTTCACATGCCATGTCCAAGGCTGATGGTTCTGGTCTAGCATCGTAGTCATGAAACTGAAGCAGAAATCCGACGTCCATCTGTTCCTCCTCAGTTTCCTCCGGCCGTTGCGTTCTCTCCCACACGCTTGGTCTACTTGCAGGCAGAGAGTAGTCATTCCAGGCAAACAACACTGGAACGGCTCCTGTTTTCAAACGCCGTCGTCCACCTTGAATTACATCTGTGGAGACGAAGTGTCTACTACACACTGTTGTCGTCCTCTTACTACAGTGGTCCCCAACCCCCGGGCCTCGGACCGGTACCGGTCCGTGGATCAATTGGTACCGGGCCGTACAAGAAATTATTAATTATGTCCTTTTTAACTATTATCTGAGTATGAACGGTCTTTTATTTGGAAAAATGACCGCATTCTCTCGGTTACATCTCGGTCACTTGAGCGCCAAACTGGCTTACTTGTGGACATATTCAGCCTGCTCAGTGAACTCAATCTGTCACTTCAGGGGAAAATGATAACTGTCTTCAAGTTGGCAAATAAAGTAGCTGCATTTAAAGCCAAACTGGATTTGTGGGGACGGCGCGTCAACAGAGGCATTTTGGACATGTTGCAAACATTAGCGGGGATTTTGGGTGAGACTGAGCCTGAGCCTTCATTCTCCCAGCTGGTGCACGATCACCTGTCTTTGCTTTTAAAAGAGTTCGAGCGCTACTTCCCAACCACAAAGGACCCACGAACGGCCAAGGAATGGATCCGCAACCCATTTGTCAACAAACCAGGTGAATCCAGCAGGTCTGTGCAAGAAGAAGATCAACTGCTGGAGATCGCAAATGACGGCGGCCTTAAAAGTATGTTCGAGACAACAACTCTGTCGGTGTTCTGGATTAAAGTCATGACAGAATACCCTGAGATCGCCACCACAGCACTGAAAACTGTGTTACGAGGAAGCTGCTAATAAAGTTGCATACAAGTACACATTGAATTCACATTTATTATATATTTACAATATAAACAACAATCTACGTACCCCCCACAGAATTGGGCATAATCCATAATGAAACAGACCACGGCAGGATACCTTAATAATCTCAAAAGGGGTTTTGCTGTGCTAAAACAGCAGATCAGATACTGACAAGCCACTAATGATAAACAATGCAAAAGTCATTAAAACATTTTTAAAGACTAAGATGAGAAAATAAAATAACGTAAAACCCACAAAGGCATGTAAGTATAATTTTCTTGTTTAAGAGGAAATACTACATAAGATTCCCCCTATTTTTCATTATATCTTAAAGCTCCTCCACCTGCAAAAAAGTGCTGAATTTAAATTTTGAAGAGCTGTGAGCATAAAATTGATTTTAAAACAGAAGCAAATGGAAATGATGTGGGAAGGAAAAGCTTGGTGAGTTTGTTTGTATAGCACCTTTCAACTACAAGACAAAACAAACTGTTTTACATAAGACATGCTGTAAAAGGCATTAGGCTGTACATGGATTATACTGTGAAACATGGCTCCAAACCTGTCAGAACTGGGACAGACCACAGTGTTATTGCTCAACAACATTACGATTCTCATCTGTTTTGGGAACATTTGTGGCTTGGTAACAGTTATTGGGCAAATTTCCTGCAAGTCTCATAAAGGATTTTTTTAACAGTGGATCCTGCTGTTTAGCCTCCAGACTAGACTTTGAATCACATTTTTCTCATTTTCACCAACTCCTCTAATGTGAGGATGGGACGGCATCATTTTGGAGGTTTAATATTGTAGCTAAAATCCAATCAGAGTACTACAGATGGAGATCTCCACAGGGAAATTCCAGGCATGGGCACAAAAATAGGTAACAAAGACAACCTAAGCATATTGGTCAGACTTGGACTTCCTACCACTGAGATTAAAGACAGCCTGGATCTACAGCCAGCCCCTTTCTCCCTTACAACCGCAAACTGTGTAAATGATAAGGCCATGTATACGTCAAAGCTGTAATCATTAAGATTTTCATTATATCAAGTCTAATTTTGATACTATTTTATTTTTCAACTA